GGATTTTTTAACAGATATGTGACACAATGATAGGATAATTGGTCATTTCAAATCTCATCAAATATTTCTAATGGCTTAAACATGAAATATCTTGGCTTTTTTCTAGGCATATGTTGCAATATATACTTTGCTCGAGCATTTAGCAAAAATGCTAATATAAAATTTAATAAAAACCATATAAGATTTTGAAAAGAAACAGTAATGTAAGGGAATATGAGATAGATCGGATCTGAACAAATAAAATTTAAGCCTTCGATAGTAATAAAGACATTTACGTTCAATCAAATATTGAGAGATAAATTATGAATGGATATGAAAATCGATAGAAGTAGTAAGAAAGGTCAACAATGGCAGCATCTGGGATTTTACGACCAGATATCCATTAAATTTTCAAACCGTGCCATCATTCTAATATCAAAGAAAAGCCGCTAATTTGCAAAAAGTCAATGAGGAAAAAGAAAAGAAAAAATCGTCACAGATTTCGATGCATACATTTGTTTCAAACAAAAATCAATTATGATTTTTTTTTTGCGACAGTTCACATAAATTCATCAGTGCTTATTACATTATCTAAAATAATTTTCTTGTAGATCTATGAAATATTAAATGGTATCAGCTCTGAGGACAACTTCATTGGTCCTAAGGACAGCTTTCCTTGCAATAAATAACACGTTTGAACTGTTCAGATTTCTTTCCCTTGATTTTGTCTTCGATGAAATGAAAGTTGAGAAATGGTGTAATTTCTAAAAGAAGGAATTTAAAAATCGATAGTATTAATGAAATTCCTTCAAATTAGGCCAACAGTGCAACAGTAAGCTGTATTACGCCAAATTCACTTATTACTATTATTTATTTTGTTCATTCTTCATCAGAAACATAAGTTGAAAAACTAAAAAGAAAGATATTAAGAAAATATGGAATTTTTTAGACAATTAAGAATTAATGCGAAAAATAAAAAATCAATTAAAAAATGATAAAATGATAAAACTTGTGAGTATATTTCCTAAGTTATATTAAATATTACTTAACAAATATCGATTTCTACAGTACGTCGATTCATTTTTTATCAGTAATGATATTCTTCATTTAAAATTTTTAGGAAGAATTTTCTAATTTTCATCATTTGCCATATTTTATGGCATATGTTTCATGGAAGTATAATAATGAATGCTATCGGAAATTTTGGAGTAAACAACAGAAAACAATTTGTCATCAATGATTGACTGCTTATGACAACGATGAATCAATACCACATCAGAAGCAAGCAGATCTTGTGACCGTGATAATGGATTGAGATGAAATGAGGGATTTGGTGTAGCAGAAATTTCTTTTGCGACCCGATGAAATCAAAAATCTAACTTCAACAATTTTGAAATAATTTACTCATCTATCAACTTTTTAAATTATAATTATATCAACATCATACCTGAACTTCTTAAAAAATATTTAAAAATGAAAAAAAGATGGAAGAGAAATTCTCGAAGAATAGCAGAAATTTTTAAATGGACAAAGAAATGAAAAAAAGGTAAGTAAATCCCTCACTTGTAGGGAAATTTTTTTCTCCGCACCATCTTTCATCAAAAATCGGATATAGCTTCTTATCTCCAATTTATAATTGTGATAGCTGAAGTGCTGAAGCAGTACGAAACGTCAATCAGTAATGTCAATCTTTTCTAGCATCTCATATTACATTCCCATTTGTTTATTGCTTAAAAAATTTTGCAAAGATAAAATAGTATAGCATTTATTTCACTTCTTAATAATTTACAATAATTGAAAAATCTCAGTGCCTTTCTTAAACCTATCAATTTACAGTTTAATGAACAGAAAGTTAAGGAGGACGAATCAATCAAGACTCAGTCCACAATATTGGCTACTTCGATGCTCCTCCCTATGTGTCAATGTAAGCGATTCTGATATGATTGTTTGGAAGACAGGCGCTCAGAGATTTTAATATTTAACTGCCACTGATCCGATCCATAATAAAGAACTACCAGCTGACCATCCCGCCGAATAGCCCTCACAAAATTTTTCTATTTTCCCTTTGTTTCGAATATCTTCAAAATTTATGGATGAACAAGGGAGCAATGACAAAATAGAAATGTCACAACGAGATGAAATTAATAAAAATGTATATTAGTAATTTCCTCCTATATTCCTTTCATCAACTACTTAACTTTGGGTCATATTGCTTGCTTATCAGTGATTAAAAAAAATTGTCTCGCTTATCAGCAACCTGTTGGTAACTACCAGTAACTTGGCAGTAACTTCCAAGAGATGATTATTGAAATTGAAACAAATCTTTATGCCTAGAAATGAACACTACAATTTCTTCATTTCACTCTATTTATCTTACCTATTCTGATTTGATAAAAATGTCATAATGTGGAATATTTCATTACATGATGAAATAATTCGGAGTAACAGGAACGAAATAAAAAATGAATTAATAACAACGAGATAGTTACAAAGTAAAACGATGATATGCTGAGCAAAAAAAAATCACTAACTTTAATTCTTTGATAGTTTTGTTTAGAAAAATGTGATATGTTAGCTCTATCAGATTTACACATTTTTATTAGATCCGATCATACTGCAAAATAAATTTGCTATCCAAGTTTCCAACAGTTTATTTCCGTGTTCTTTAAACAAGCCAACTTTTGAAGTGTTGTAAATACAACGGAAGGAAGAAAAGGAAAGAAGACGTTTCCTATTCGCAATTTGTGGAATCGAATTAGCATTTCAAAAATATATGAAGATATTGTATAAATTGTCAATATTATTAGGACGAAAGCTTGCACAATGTTAGAATAAATTACAAAAAAAAGAAAGCATAAAATTCACGATTGCAAATTTATTATTTATTTTGAATACTTATCATCAAGGTCCATTTATGAAAAAACAATTTGATGTGATTAAAATTTCCTATTGTTACCATTTTGAAATTCTCATATTTTTATGTAAAGAAAATTTTCAAAACTTTTAATAATTTTACATCATATAATAATTTTAATTGTTGTTGAATACAGTAACGGTCATCGGTCACCTGTTCATAAAACAGAAGGACACAAGAAGAAAACGTCATTCGACAGGGAAAACATATGAAATGCTATTATCTATTTTTACATTCGAGACTTTGAATTAAAAATTATACATTTACTTATCATTTTGAATTCGATAATAGAATATACTGAAATTTTAAAATAAAAATAATTTTAAAAAGAATTCGAGACAACTTCACGTTATTTGGAAAATTGATATTAAGAAAAAAGAAAGAAAATCGTTTTAAGGAAAAGTGAAAAAACTTTTGATGTCGCTCTTGTTTTTAAAAGCGACATCGAAAATTTTTTTTCTGAATTACGTCTCTTTTCATTATGATGTCTTTTGTCTGCTCCCTGTTTTGAATTCAAATTATCAGTTCGGGTTACATTTTAACACGACAAAAGTGCATGGTTTTTTTTTTGTCAGTGATAAAATGATATAAATAAGCAATATCGAAGCACAATGCGACATATTCTTCGAAGTTTCAGTGACAGAAGAAATGAAGATATTTCCGTGAGTTGATCAGTTAACAAATAACAACCTAACTCTGACAGTTGAACTAAGAGATATATGTATGAATAATTTGCTTAAAGCGAATGTCCATTTGAAAGTTGAATGTGTTTGACCGACGATTACATTACCATTTGTGGATGTATCAAGAATATACAAGCAATTTTGGCATCATTTAAGTATTTATTGTACCTTCCGATGATGATGATAATACAAACATAAGTCAGGAAGAAGTAAACTCAAAGTGAATATTTTTATTGGAAAAGTAATCTTGATCAAATATTTCAAACAATGGATGCTGTGACGAAGACTTTCGTGCAATTGGAAGACAGATGTCATAAATTGAAAGGGAAGATGTCGGGATGAGGGGATAGCGGGGTAGAAGAGGATGTCGGGAATAGCGGGGAGGAAGAGGATGTCGAGATTAGGGGAGAGCGGGGAGGAAGAGGAGAATAGTTTAAATCGCCAAGATAGGGTATACACACGTCTCCGATACTCCTTTTGCTTGGTTTACTTTACATATCACAACATGCGCTTCTCGTCATTTATTCGAATGCAAATTTTTGAAAAGAAAAAACTAACGGAAAGAATTGCAAACAATCAATTAATATCCTCAACAGTGGCGCTAAAAGATAAATTATGTTCCGAATGTGCAATGAAATGGAAATTCAAAAATCTCACCAATTATTATCACCTAACTTTGTCCTCATTAGATTGTATAATACTAATAACCATGAATGAACTGCATAATTGCTCGTCCATATCATTAATCATGTTCCTGTAAATTTTATGTCGTCTCCTTGCTAGGACAATCTATTAAGGTTTGTGACAGCCATTTTTAATTGATCCCGTAGAATATTTATTTGTCACCAATACGGTGCATGCAGCTCTCACATTTTAGCAATACCGGAAGACAGACCGGACTTCGAAGAGAGATGGTGAAAAAGTCTGTAAGGAGAATGGATGAACTGAAGAGATGGCAGAGATATAAGAAAATCGGGGAGAACAGTATAGCGAGAGATTAAGAAAATAGTTGGATAGTCACATTTAACAGTATGGCAGATAGTAAGAGGAAACGAGAGAGTAATTGCTCAAGAAATCATCAGATATGAGAGTGCATGCGAATTGATCGGAGTTAGAGGGAAACGTTTAGCTACAATACTCGTCATTAGCGGGTAAGGTGGCGTTATTTATATGGGAACAGGTTGATTGGTATGACTGACTTGTGTATATGCCAAATGAAGATTGCAGTAAATGTTTAATTTTGTTCATTGTAACGCTGAAATAGCGAATTTGGGTACCATGAAAAAGAGTAAGCATTATCATATCAAAGATAATTGTTACATATCAACTTTCGTTGAAAGGAATTCAATATCAGTTATTATTTGGATGATAATTGCTTATTAATGATAAGTGTTGGTGATTAGATCATGTTAAAGGTGTAGGAGATGAATGAAGTGGATATAACAGATCATTTGCCCCCGGGCTTCTTCGAAATTATCAGATCAACGAAATGGGACGAAAGGCGAGATGTGCTCATAGCACTCATTGATAATTTATCGCAGCATTCGCGCATTAATCCTAAAATAAAATACAATGAAATTCTTGCTGAGTTGAAACTGGTTGGTGTATTTCATTCTTTTATTTCTGTTCAGACTATTTTCGTGCCGCATTTAACAAAATTTGAGCTACTACTTGCTTAATAAATGAAACCATTGAGAATTTATTGCTTATTAACTGTGACATTGAAATATGCGTAGCACTTTTGCATCTGACATCATGAATGATTTTTTTGTTTAATTTTTTTGATAGCGAATAATCAAATAAGAAAAAGGACTGCTTCAGTTTTTATATACGAGGTAAAGTCAAAAAATTCTAAATTGATTTCTAAAATCTGTGTCGAAAAATTGGACACAGAATGTGCTTTGTTTTACCTGTAATATCTTTCTTTTCAGATCATATTAAAGGATTCAAATATTACCGTCGTAACACTGGCATTGCGAGCATTAACAGCATTCGTTAAGGGATTACGCAAAAGTTTTATGAAATACATTCCTATGGCACGTACCTTTTAATTCAGAATTGTTTTAACTTTCAAATATTTGTAAATTTTTTAAGTGAAATTATCAAGAGAAATTGAAATCCTTATTACAGATACTGTTGCATATATTAGAGAAATTTAAAGAAAAGAAAGCCTCAGTAAAGGAAGCTGTTGTGGAATGCTTATCACTTGTGGCTGAATATGTATGTTTATGTGCTTTAAAGAATTATTTGTTTATTGTAATAATTTTCTAATCAGTTATTTTGTCTTCCGTAGGCTTCATACTTCTTTTCAGTGTGATGCCACGATTCTTACTGATCCCATATGTGAAGCTTTAGAAAAAACCACAAATCCCAATATGAAAGCAGGTATAGACCAATGGATTTATTGTATCTTATGCCGGTATCCACGAAATGCTGCACCCAACGCATTTATCAAAAGTGTTGCGCCATACGTTGTTAAAGTAAAATTTTCTCTTATTTTACTCCATCTAGTCTCTGATCAATTAAAAATAATATTTCATTTTGAATTGTTTGGTATATAAACGGATTTTTCCAGCATAGTAAAGATAGTGATCCGGATGTTCGTGAGGGAAGTTGCATGGTTTTTGGTGCTATTTTACGATTAGTTGAAGAAAAAATAACGGCTTCTATTGCTGATGGAATATTCTCTGACAAAACTAAATTAAAAAAGATTATGGAATATTTGGGAAAAGCTGAGAAAGATTTTGAAGCATATGAGCAGGCACGAATCGAAACCAATATGGCTTTAGAATCTTGTACTCCAAGTGAAACTCCAAAAGAAATGGTTTATTTTCAGCTGATATGAAAAATTAAAATTTTGTTTCTTCCATTTTCGGCAAAATTAATATATACAATTAATAACATAAGATATAAGATTATTTTAGTTATCAAAATAATATAACATAAGATATAAGATTATTTTAGTTATTGATTTGTTTTTATTTTTATTCACAATGACTAGCAATAAGGAAGTCCTTTGCTCTTGACGATCATGCGGAAAATAAATTTTCTTTTTGAGAATTTAGGAACATTATGAGGGTGGTTTAGTTCAGTCCGATGCAGCGATCAGTTCCTGGGAATTGCTGACTGAAACGAAAATCAGTGATAAAATCCCGTGTGATATACAGGCAAAGTTGACCTCAAAGCGATGGGCAGATAGAAAAGAAACACTGGAGGTAAATTTTGATATTTCATTATTATCTCAAGAAAAGGGGAGAGAATTTGGATGAAATATTTACATGAAATTTAGCTTAGAACAAAGACAAATATAATGTTTGAAATTTATAGATATTATGCAGAATTTTGGAGAACAATCCGCGACTTTGCCCTGATGAAGATCATTCGGAGTTGATTGGAATTTTGCATAAGGTAGATTCTTTAAAATCCCACTTATATACTGAATTCATCTATCATTTCATTATTGCTTGCTGCTTTAGATACTCGAGAAAGATGCGAATATCAATGTAGTTGCAGTTGCCGCGAAATGTATAACAGGTTTTGCAAATGGCTTGCGTTATAAGTTTGCCACATTCATACCAAAAGTAAGTTTCTGTGTGGCAAGTTCATCAACTAATTTAGTAAAAAAGGCTTTTCTGTTAAATAAATCTAATTTTTCACTATTACTTCCTTTTAATAAATTTTTTAATTTGATTCTTTGATTTTTAGAGTATTTATTTACTATGTCGTTGTTTTGACAATTTTTTCAGATTTATGTTTCTGTTTTCGAGAAATTCAAGGAGAAGAAATCAATTCTTCGCGAGCCGTTAATTGAGCTTTGTGACGTTCTTGCTTTACTTGTGAGTGGAATTTCTTAAACATCTAAAGATTTTGGCATATGTTGCACAGTTGAAGAGGTTAGAATTATTGTGAAGATTAAGCAGAGATTTCCTCAAAAATACACTCTCCATCTAAATAAATTCTCAGACTCCTCTTTCTGCGTATATCGAGACTGTAGAGACTGCGTTGCGAAAGCCAAATCCACAGATAAAGACACAAACTGCTCTCTTCCTCTCAAGATTACTACGTCAACACGATATGCATACTTTATCGCTTGACTGTATAAGAGAGAGGCTTGGACCTGTACTCACGAAGGTAATTTTTATGATTTTTTTGTATTAATAAAGGAAAGAAGAGAAAACCTTATCGAAGATTAATAATAGATAAATGTGTAGGAGGGTAATCGGTAGCGGTGACGGAATTGCTGATTTGGAAAGAGCTAGCATGCAGATCTAATCGTTTGTTAGATTTGCTCATTCTCATGATATGGTAAAGCCAAAAACTCTCATTCATATCTCATTTCTGTGTTAAAGTACTCATCGGCTTCATTAATGCTAAAACTCGAAAATTAATATTGAACTGGAGTTCATTCTCTTTTAGTTGTCCTTTGATGCGGATCCAGAGAGTCGTGAAGCATCACTTATAGCAGTTGGAGCCGTCATGAAGATTGCTGGCGAGAATCTTGTCAATGAATGTTGCAGAAGCATCATGGAAGATGTTAATAAATCAGCAAAGGTTTTCACAAGGCTAATTCAGAATTTGAGTTCAGTTATTATAATGTTAGTCTACTTCGCAGCATTCCCAAGTTTTCGAATGATGTAAGAAGGGTTTTCATATGAGACAGGATCTAGTTTTGACCATTCTTTGATCTCACAATTTTGTTAAAAGTTCCTCAGGTCCGTAAGTATTGTGAAAGTTTAATACAAGAATTTGGACCAAATGCTTCTGCTCCAATCTTGAAGTTATATCAAGAAACGAAATCAACAGTAACTACTGCAAAAGTCGGAAATAACAAAGCATGTAGAGCCGGTGCGAGGACGAAGGTGAGTGTAAACAGTATTATTACTTGCTTTTCATTTTCTTGCAACTATTTTGAAATCTCAACTCTCACCAAGTTAAAAAGTTGAACGTTTTTTCCTTCTTCTCTAGCAATACTGGTTTACAGTTCTTTCTTAACATTTAATCTTTTGTTAACATTTCTATAACTATTGGTTGCTAATTAATATTATTTCTTCTGTCAAAATAGATCAAAGTATTTATCGTCCATTTTTCATTTTATTAATGTATAAATTTCTGGTCAGTTAAGTTATTTAAAAAAAAGCCTTACTTATATTTCCTTTATTAGTCTGAGAGAGGTACATTCGTGCTGAATCAGAATTTGAAACTTAGTTTTCCAGATCATAAAAGGCAATAATAAGATCATCAAAAAAGTGTCTCATGATGCAACGATTTCAAAGTCAAAGTTCAACAGTACGACAAAGCCTGCAGTTGGAAATAAGTCAGTCCATTCTGCGGTCCCAACTATTTCAATGGAAATGAAATGTGAGAAATTATTAAGTATATTGCCGACGAAAATTTATGCCATAGCGAAAGCTAATTGTAAAATATTTTGGTATTTCGGTTTACTGCTTATATATTCTACTACAGCTTTACATCTTGGTTCATATCACCGGTAGTAAGAATATAATTGTGTTATTTTCCTATAAGTGAGACGGAATTATTCAACTTTTGCAGCATATTTTTTGTTCGGTTTGCATCACTGCTTGACGTTCGTAATATTGCAGATATTCAGACACCAGGGACTGATATGGCAAAAAACCATGAAAATAAAGACGTGTTTTTTGATGCTGCAGAAGAAATGGAGATTGTGTCATACAGTTCTATTGATCTCGGGAAATCGTTGAAGAGAAATGGATCATATATTTTAGAAGAAAGAGAACCAGGTGATCAATATCAAAATTTGAAAGAAGATCAAATTGCGAGTGATTATTTTACAACCTTTTGATTTTTACTAGAAGTATTTCCACTTTCACACTTTATTGGCTTCAGGAGCTGGAACTACAGAAGAATTAGTTCCATTACAATCTATTAGTCGTGAAACGAAACAGTCCGATCCGGCTAACTTTACATTTCCATCGGTCAGTGATTGTGTTACAGTTCAATCTTTTTTATCTACTTTTCTTAATTACAATGATTGAATGCAGCATTTTTTCTATTAGTGGCTTGCTATATGAGATGATGTGCTGAATTCTCAAACAAAATTGGCCATTAAACCGTCTCGTTAATTCACTCTTAGGTTTGCTTCCTAACTTCTCAAATTGTTTGGATTTTTCGAATAGTGCACAAAATTATCACGGCTTGAAGCATAATGTGTTCTCTTACTGCTCTTATTGCTTCGTATTTACTGAATCTTTTTGGGCAGGCTGAATTTCGTGAGAGTTTTACATGTTCATAGTTCGATTTTTGTTGAGCCTTTCACTGCAAGTTTCATGGCTTTAAAATTTTAATTTAAGGTTCGCAACTATGGATCTCGCTTACCTATTCCGACACCACGAGGCACATGCGGAAGTCGTATTCCTTTACCTGTCTATAGACGCACATAAGAATTGTCATATCTAACTTCCTTAGTTCCTTTTTTCTTTGTAACAAATTTCTGCAGAACATAAAGACATTGTACTTTTATCTTTTTATTATTTTTTATTTCTGTCGAAATTGCTTCCTAATTCTCCATCTGCTAATCATTTTTTGTTTTAATCATCGCCTTAATATTAAAAAAAGCACTTGGTACATGCATTCTATTATTTTATCGGGTCGAATAATATGTGCCGAGATCTCTTCAAGTGTCTACGTATTCGTGTACCTTTGTTCTTTAACTTTAATATGTGATTCTGATATGTCATAAAGTTTCGAATTGTCAAAATGTTTCTAAGAAAGTGCTGAGTCATTTCAGATCTTAATTTGTTGAAAGCGATGAGAAAAGGAAGAATTAGGTATTACTTTCAACGAAACTTTATTCGATCGTCCCATCATAAAGATTAACTTATATTAAATATATATAGAGGTTTTAACATATGGAGATTTTAACTTTCTCCTCCGGCATGGTAAATTTTCAAGATTGCTTCCTTTTCTTTTAATGTCTGGTCGCCTTATTTCATAATTTTTCAAAAACATGACCAGGGACCCTTGCAGCATCATTTCTATTGCTACTGGTTTTTTAAAAAAATTCATTACCCTAAAGTTACTTTAAATGTCTACATATTCGTATCCTTTGTTCTTCAACTTTGATATGTGATTCTGATATGTCGTAAATAAAATGTCAAACTGCCAAAATGTTTCTGTTTCCAATAAACAGTGCTGAGTGGTTTCAAATCTTAGTCTGTTGAAAGCGACAAAAAAAGGAAGAATTAGGTGTTACTTTCAACGAAATTTTATTAATCGTTATCATCATAAAAATTTATTCAATCGTTACATTCATATTTTGGAAGATAGCAAAAATCGTAATTAAAAGTGGTGATAATATGTGGCTGATAGGGCGTCACCCGATTTGTATCGCACGGAGTTCATTTCATCTTGGCATGTGTAAGATGTCAACGTAAGAGATCCATTGTTTAAGCTTTGAATAAACCTGATTGGCAAACTTGTTCGCAAGAAAATCTCATCGGTCGAAATTGGTAAATTCATTTGGAGAAAAATTTCCGACATATTTTGGTTTTAGCAATCAATTCGGTCATTTTTATTCTTTATAATTCCTCAATTTTCCATTTATTAAATTTTTTAGTGTCTTTTATTTCAAAAAATGTAAATGTTCACTGAATTTATAATAATTGTATTGATTATTTTTATATCACAACAGTTTTCGCATCATATTAAAATCTTAAACTTGAAATAATGTTACCAATTTCAGCAATTTAATCATCTTCACTCTATTCACTCAAATAATTCTTGAATATGTAACATTCAGAATAATTTGAAACAGATGATGTCATTTATATTTAAAATTATTCCTCTCGTAAACTTAGGAATTCCTGTTGGTAAGTCTAATATTCTTCACTCCGTTCATTTATTCTTGAATTCTGAGATTTAATTGAGCTGATATAATCATTACTATTCGTAAGCAATGAAACGATCTAGAAACTTTAATTTTTGCAATTTTCTTTTTTTAACTTTCAATTTATAAAATGTGTAGTAATGATTTGACAAGACGAAAGTTCAAAAAAAAAAAACAACGAATTTTAAGGCACTGGAAGAGTGCTGAAAAGATTTTGGCACATATCACTTTGCCAAGTCTGAATTGGCTAGTAGATGGCATTTAGTTGCTTAATACGCCTGACATAGAGTTATGCGTATTTGAATGAGATGTTTGAATCGCGTGATAAACATGATGATAACTTTAGTAATCGTTTCCGTTGATTTTTTTATGAAATAAAGAAAGCCTCTATTTTTAGTACATTCGATAATGATGGTGAAAAGAAAATGAAAAAAAAAATGTCAGGTTTTCAGCGATATGTCAAGTCGATTTGGGTTCCTTTTCGTTAGGACAAAATAAACATGGTGATCTGAAATTTATTTTCAATCAGGCTGCGAATATTTTCGGATTCGGGGGTGATCGTGGATTTGATTTAACAATTGGCGAAGGTCGATTTAATACCAAAGGTTTTTGTTAATTACTGAGAGTTACACAAAATTTAGCTGTCTGATTTTTAAAAATGAAAATATCATTGATATATTTCTTTAGCACGACAAGGAGCATTGATTGCCGAAGAAAGGATTGGTGCTGATTCAGGTATTAATATTAATGAAGCTGAAGGAATGAACATCAGAAACTTTTTAAGTGTAAGTCTTTTGTAATTGGACTGGTTCTTGCTAATTAAATCATGCATTCTTTCATAAACTTGCTTTCTCAATTCTTTTTTTTAATAGCAAACGATAAAATAAAGGTTGTAACTGAAATTACTTAAAATTGACTTTAACTAATACATATATATATCAAAGAAAATGATTTTAACTTTTTATATCTTAACTTTTGTTATTTTTGTTATATCATTTTCTAGGTGAAGGCTCCAAAATGAATTGAATAAATTAACTATTTAGTGTCATATGTAGTTGATTATTATATTCCTTTTATTTGTTTTTTGTAATTTTATTTATGATTTAATTATCCAATAATGAGTCATTGAAATATAGTCATTTCAAAATTTCGTGACAATTTGATAAATTATTCCAATACATTTATTGAAATTCTCTATTTGACCACTGATATATTATAACGATATTGTCATTATTTTTGTAATTATTATAAAATGTTTACAGTTTGGCAACAATTCTAATTCATCCAATAATTCTGCTAGTCCTTTCCTCTCATTTCTGGAAAAGATCAAGAAATTCTTCATTGCTATTACTAATAAACCAACGGATTCCATACGATCTTCCATGCAATATGAAAATTCAAACGTCAAAACGGGAAGTGCCTTTCGTAGTTTTGAAACATTAGAACAGCGGAAAATTTCTGGAGAGGTGATGAATTTTAGGCAGCCTGAAAATGATAATTATGACGATTATTATCATCATATTGAAGTTAGTTTTTAATAACTAGGCGTAAACCTCAATTCCATTTTTGTATTTTCTGTTTTCTCTTTTTTCTCTCTGAAAATTACAGCTGATTTTCTTCTTTTTTTTTTTAAGATCGATTCATTCTGTACTTTAAACCTTAACTTTAATTCCACAAAAAATTAAAAATTGTTCGTAAATAACAAGTAGCAGTTAATTTTTTGTAAGCACTATATTGATTTAGCAAGTTGAAATTAATTCTGTCGAAATAATTATTATTCACCAAGTATCATTACAGGTTGGAGATGAAGTAACTCAAAGAGCGTTTAAAACAACAAGTGAATCTTCTAATCAAAAAAATCGGACCACACTGAATCAGAGTACTGTTGAAACGGAGTTCAATGTAACAACCATTTAAAATAATACACTCTAATTTGTTTGTTATTTTTTTAAATTTATTTATTTAGATATTTATCTGTGCATCATTAATTTCATATACCAGTTATATTTCTAGCAAAATTTCACTATGTTCGGTATATATATATGTTATATTAGTTTAAATTTGCTTTAAAATATTTCTTTTTTCATTATCAAAAAATTCTAGTTGATAAATGGTTTAAAATTTATTTTTCATTGTAGACCTTTCTTTATTTATATTTTAATACGGTACAGATGGAGAAAGTGCCAGAATATATATCCTATCGATTAGGAAATTTCCTGTTCAAATTTATAACAATGAATTCACTTCCATTTAATATACTTCTGCTTGCACATGATCATCGCTTAAGGGATTTTAATTTTCAGATAGCTTTTAAATTTTAAAGATTTCATATAATCATTCTTTGAAAATAGTTGAAAAATTACAGCATTTTTTTCGTCTTTTTTCCTTTAAAAAGAACCGTTAATGGGAGGAAGTGGAAGAAAAGCAAGGAATAAATATTCGTCTTGAAGAGTTTATGCCTCACATATTTTACCTTATTAATCTTATCTAATATTAACGCTACTAAAGAGATCATTAAATCTAACCTTTTATCCTTGACGTCATGAGGGAGATATGTTTTATAAACTTTGAACAAATCATAATCACATTTCAATATACAACATGGGCGAAAATCAGAATTGTATTTTATCACTGTACACTGACATGAAATAAATGAAAGAAAGGCCGAACAGAAGACCTGCACTTTGCAACACAGTAACAATTATACTTTCACGATAATTATTTTTAATCAATTCAGTGGTTGCCTCACGCACCTCCGGAATCTGAAATAATAACATTTTGATCTAAATTACAAGAATATAAATCTCTTTACTTTTCCTCAAATATTTTTATAAAGTTAAAAAAACTTTTTTTTTTAAAGTCCTCATCTCAAATATTTTTGCTACCAATATCTTCGATTAGGCGGTAAGAAACTAGGCGTGACGCTGCAATTCGCGTGTCCGTAAAAAAGGACAGATGTCGATTCATTACAGTAATAAAAACTAGAAAATGCAAATTAAAAATAATCATGTAATTAAGATTGCTAGAAAATGAATTCCAGAAATTTCTTTGTTTTTTTTGTAATATACTAATATCAACAATAAATATGTCATATTATCCTATCTATGATTGGAACAAAAAACTTACCAAAGTTCCCAAGAAAACATAAAGATACATTCCGGATGAAATAGCAAAAACGTATGTATCAGCACCTTCATTATAGTCATCTAATAATGCCCCAATAATGAATCCGAGATAACTCAGACCACCCGGTATTAAATTCAATAATAATGTCTTCTTGAGACCCAACCCTGACTGAACCAAAATAGCAAGAGTACCTAAAAATTGATATTTAAACATGGATAAAATATAAGTGAAACGCAGGCAAATTTAGTCATTTAAATTCATGAAATCATACCTGATTTTGTGAAAAAACATTTACAAGCAATTCGATATTCAACTTGCACAGTTTTAAATTTTATTAAAAAATATTAAAATATGTGTAAAACTAATATGAAACTTAACCCAACTCCTGCGGAAATTGTTGCGCAATGCATGCAATGCCAATGCTGAGGCCTCGGCCCAACGAATCCGCAAAAGCAACGCCATTACTCATTCCATCAACGAAATTATTGGCCGAGGAGCCAAATAAGATCATATATGCGATACTGGAAATTTCCAGTGTTTCCGGTCGAACTTCCATTTGCTCAACGACAGCCACAGATACACTTATTTTCTCACCAGCTCTTACCTTAAAAATTGCACTAAACTTTTCAATCCTTTCTAATTTTCAATAAAATATTAAACTTTTCAAGAAATTGTAAGAAGTGATAGTTTGAAAAGAAACATAAAATATTTAGACTGTATTATACTGGACCTGATTTTGAGAAATTGTTGGAGAAGTGGAATAAATTGTTGCGATCGGTTGTGGTACTTGCAAGAAATTATTGTTGTCTACGCGACTCTCCGTGTCTCCCACGTATATAATTTGAGGAACTTTCTTATTTGTTGAAAACTAGAAAATATATTTGAAATCATTAAATCGTTTAATATATTTTTATGCTCTAAAAATTGAATCAAAAGTATTGAGAAAATCTTTTCCAGAAAATGAATTGTCTTTCGTAATTTCATTTCCCGAAACACCAAAATCAACTCAATGCAATTACTATAAGGCAAAGTGGTACCGTTCTTGTAATAGCTGAATTAACTGCTGCACTTTCGATCTCGGCCTAGAATTCATTAGTTCAATTATTATTATTATTATCATAGAATCTTGTCTTGAAATTTTCATAGGAAAAAAATTTAATTTATAAGTTGATGAATTTGTGTAATTAAACTAACATATATTATCAAATCTCATTCGTAAACTAGAAGAAAACCTGAATTTGCTCAATTTCATCTTTAGTGCAGGAATTTTCGCGACTTATTGGTTTCGGAAAGGTCATTGCTAAATCTGTTTTGTTGGTTTCAGCAATCTCCTCCACTTTTCGTGGTTTTCGTTGCTAAAATATTATTTGCATTTTAAAAGAAAAAAATTTGTAAATTTTAATGGAAATCCTAATAATAAAAAGACATTTGAATGATATTAATAAAAACATTTGACAAAGCATAAATCATTCTTTCTGCAAAAGAATTTGTTTGGGAAATTAATAGTTAAAATTTATAAATTTTAGACAACTAAATGGAAATCTTTAACTAAATAAATAACGAAAGAATATAAAGTACTAACTCGTTTTATTTCCATTGCAAATTTGAGTATCCTATCAACAGCAAAAAATGCATACAATGATCCGAGGATGATCACTGATTTTATTAATCCAATTTTGTCTGGTACCTCAAAAGCCTGAAAATATATGTCCTTACAAGATATTAATTTCATCAATTTTTTTTTGATTGAACTATTAATTTCAAAAAATTCCAAATAAGTTTGGGATTAAATTAATTGAAAATTCGAATGGAAATGTGCATACTTGTGGTAACATGATAAAAATGACGGAACCGGAAAGTGCACCGATGCCGAGAGCTACCAGAAATGTCATAACACGATCGTAAAGTTTTTTATTTAGTAGTGGTACAAATATAATGCATGATGGTGAAGCAAATGCTGAGATTGTTACAATTATCATACCAACACCCCATGCTGTAATTTAATTTAGTATTTAGAATTTCATTTTAATTTGTACACTTTTTTTTTGTTTTATATAAAATTGTTTAAAATTATATTTCTCTTTTTTTAGCATCAATAAAGATTTTCCATTAGTATTATGAAGTGTGAAACATGAAATTTAAATTGACATATTAAATTGTTATCTATGGAAACCTATACCGGATACCACAAAAATGCAATACTTTGCCATGCCTCCGGTTTCAATGGTTGATGTTGCCTAATTGAACATGAATCATTCACAAACTGATCCATTGATAATAATATTCAGTTACACGTCGGTAGCACGTTACAGTTTTTTTTTTCTGTGAATGAATTGATCAAATTAAAAATTAAGGTGATTTTTTTTGCAACAAAAAACGTTCACGATTGAGGGAAAATCAAACACCACAAATCAAAAACACATTCTGTTATAATATGCTTATTAAACTTGTTTGTTTCAATAAGTAATCAATGTGATACCTGTTTTTCAGAAACTTGAAAATTTTGATTTAAGTTGAAATTGGATTAGAAATATTTGTTGTTTTCAATGTTTTCATAAAAAATTCTCCATAATTTAATGCTTTTAACTTTTTTTCTTTTTTGAACATAGAAATAAAGATTTCGATTATTCAAGTTTGGAAAAAAATTTGATTTGGAATGTGACGGAGTAATCACTGGAAGGATTATTGATCGCTGAGAAACTTTTGGCTAAAATATCAGTAATTTATTGTCATAAAAAAAATCGGACAAAAAGTCTTCAAAAACGCTCAAAAAAACTTTCATCTGCCATTGCCATCTGTAATTGTTAAATTTTCTCACGTGAAAAGAAATAATTATGCTTAATGATAGGCATTTGATGGAAAGATGGATTCTGCTATTCACGCAAGTTTTGACAAACGTATTGTAAATTATGCATAAATTCCATTTTCCAAATTTTCAAATATTTGGAAAAAAAATGAAATTACTTAAAGAGTGCTGCGCAATTGGAAATAAAATCGAATTTATGATGAAAATATCGGTTTTTGCAAAGGCGATCAACGATCAAAAAGATTAGCATTACATGCATTGCATGTGATTTCACATTTAAACTAATCTTTTTGATTCTTGGTCTTCTTTGCAAAACTTCCCACAATTTATAATTACATGTATAATTGTCAGTTTTTATAATTATATGTGCATTATATATGTTAAATGATTTCAACAGAACAAAATCTTCACTTATGAAAAATAAAAGTTCAAATTAACCTGAATCTACACTTATTGTGATAATCACAACCTACACGACGACAGCTATAAAAATGGATGTCCTTAAACACTTCATTCCAATTAAAACACTATTAAGCACCTCTTCAGAAAAAGAATCAGGTAAAGGAAGAACATTTAAAGTAGACATTAATATGTATACATATATAAAGTTTTCTTATAATAAGGTTTTTTCTAGAGTTAAGTTTATATATGAAATTAAGTTTTCCATAAATATATTTTGAAGCATTCAAAGCTTAACAGTAACTGGACGATATCCGACAGTTATCTACTTCATCCCAGAAAAATTCAAACGACGGGATTGATATGACAGATGCAAGCCGTTATATATTTCTGTAAGCTACCATACGATCTTTCTTATTGCGATTTTTCACAGTGTAAAAAGTAATGATATAGGAAAACTGATCAAAATTAATAGCAGCTTTGCAAGACTATATTTATGTTGAAAATATTGAGAAATAAGGAATGCTATAAAAAACTGTCGGTTTAGAATATTGATCACTTTTACATAGCGTAAGATGTGACAGGAATAATAAATAAATGTTAATAAATGATTATGAACTGGAATATCGTATTTCTTTCACCTGTGAAGTCATAATCTTCGATCGCTTTTTATAAATTAAATACATCATTCTGTTAGCGACACTTAACATTGTCAGAGTAATGCAAATAAATGTTGATCTATTGAATGGGAACTGTAAAATAAAAGTATTGTTTGCACAATAAAGAAGGTAAGAAAAGAAAGAAGTAACAAAGACCACACTTTATTCCTCCCATCAATTTAACTGCGAATATTTTCTTTATGACTTCTTAGTAAGAATAGGAAATTGTTCATTTTGATACTTTTATCACGCCATATTCGTTTTCATTTACAGACTGAAGCCCTTTTTTTCAATGGATTACGTTTCCAATCGACACCACCATTCAAAAACCATGTCTTTTGATATCAAAAAACCAAAATGAAAGGTAAAGTTCCAATCAAAGCAACATTTTACTAACTCGGTTAATTTAAGGAATAAATTAAACAACAAAGAAAGTGTTAACATGCAAACATTTCAATTAGGAATGAAATTTACGATAGTAGCCGAATTCCACATAATTTTGATAAAGTTTTACATGAAATGATTAAAGAGTAAGTGTTTAAAAGTAAATAAAAAAGTATTTCCTACACTAATGCAAGTAACACTAAAAAAAACATATAAAAGCATATAAAAGTGTTTCCGAGCAACACGAGGAAAGCAATTAATAATCTGAAGCTAATATAAAAATTACTTCTTAATTTTTCAAATTTTCGTCCATTTCCCCAATATTAACGGTACAATGAACTTTCAGATTACTAATTATTTTCCTCGTGCAGCTCAGAAACAATAATGCAATGCGTCGTTGTTTCTGAGCAACACGAGAAAAACAATTAGTAATCTGAAGCAGATATAAGAACTTTTGTTTCCGAGCAACACGAGGAAAGCAATTAATAATTCGAAGCTAATATAAAAATTGCTAATATACTAGGTTTTGAATTCACAGTAATAAATTGTAAACACATATACAGCATGAATAATAAAGAGATCTGGAGGATATATGAAAAAGACGATTACATTCCGTGTAGATCAAGATGCCTCTTGAGAGAGATTAAAATAAAATTTTGAACGAATTTTAAAATTACAGAAATATATCGAAAAGAACAACTGATTTGTGAGAGATTTAAAACTCGTTTAATTATAATGACGATAAAATAAGCATCTAAGCAAAGCCTTTTGCGGTTTGCGACCATAATACAACGGAAATCTTGTTACATATCATAAAGACAAAAGATTATACAAATCTGCAGAAGCAATTAAAAGTGAATAAATCTTACGCGTAGCACAGATGTTAAAATATATCTTAATTAATTTTTGATCCTATATCAACAGGGTTTTAGCAAAGAAACTGCATGTGGAGAAATCTTACGCAACTGACGATAAAAAAGGAATGTAACACATATGATACTTATGTTATGGATATAATTTTAGAAAACTCCGTAAGTTCATTTGTGCTTTTTATTTTTACGACGATAACCACTATTGTTGATGCGATCACTATCATTATTACTATTCCATCTATAACTTGCACTATCTAAAAATCATAATGACGATTATGATGATTACAGTTACGTAACCATATGAACAATAATCCACTAGAGTTCAATTACCACAATATTATTTTAGCAATCTAATTTAACTTAATTTTCTGAGTAAAAATTGTTTAATCGCAATAAATCATCGCTTAACTGAAGACTTTAAAACTGAAAGATTCAAAAAAATGTGCGATAGCGCGAATACCAAGAAACTTCATGAATTTGACAGACTTTTCCCCTAAATGCGCATACCTTGAGCATCATTTCGATCGTCAAACTGTCGTTCTTCATTCCCAGCAGCATGTATATTATCACATTCTCTTGATAAAGATAGGAAAGCTTCACGTCCCGGCATTGGTCCGACGACTGCTTTTCGCATATTGTTTCTTCTGCTGTTACGAAAATGCTTTTCTATTATCCTTGACATTGATCGGTCTTTTATCATCCGTGTTCCGGCCTAAAGACAAATTTTTTGATTCGTCATGGTATTTCTTACTGAGAACAAACGAAGCAGAAAGATTTCAAATCAGAGTCAATAAAACAATCATCATGGCTGAAGCCGCTCACTAAACTTCACTTGTGTTTCCCAGTAATTAGAATGAAATAATAGTTATATTTCAAAAATATGGAAGAATTTTCGTCCTAAACAACGCAAAAGCAGTAAAAGCTAGAAGCAAAAAATAAATCATACCACAAAGATTGCATTCTGCTCAGAAATCTCTGAAAGGCGATCATTGAATGAATCTTGTACTGCTTCAATGTTTGCACTTGTGATGTCTGAAAAATAAAGCTTACATTTTTACATTTCATGGATTTTTCCATCATTCGATTTTGTGCAGAAATATCCAAAAAATATAAAGGTTTCATAGAGTTCTTCTTGGTTACGTTTTTTGATCTTTTCCACTTGTTAAAGTCCTGGATATAATCCTCATGCAATGATAGCAGTACTTGTTGTCTTATTGAAGGACGAATAAAGATAAATAAAATACAATAGAGTAGTGTTTATTTAAAAGTGAAAAAAAGAGCAGCCATGCTGAAAGTCTAAATTAGAGTTAGCTTTTATCTCCCATTGGAAAATTTGGAGAAAGGAAAATAATCTACTGATATTCTGTAGATTTGGCTAACAAAGCAGAGACAATGAGAAGTGTTATAACAGATGGTTCATTTACCAACAATCTCCAATTTCTCACTGCCATTGCTTTGCCCCCGCATGCCATGTTTTTGTTCCTAATCTACGATAATCGATTTTGTTCACTGCACTTTATGCAGAAATTTTCAATACCAACTATGCCACCAACTATGCTGCATCTTCTCTCATTTCATCAGAATCTTATCGGTTTCAAATATAATTTTCTGAATATCTTGGAATGATGATTTTCTATAACTTCTAAGTATTAGAGAACCAAAACTAAAAGTCAAAGAAGAGCTCAAGAACGTCAAAAATCAAGACAAAAGAGAAATGAATAATAAATAACTGCACAAGCATCAAATCTACATCGTGCAGATAAGCACATCCACTGACTCCGAAAACCACATCGTTCTGTAAATGCCTAATTTGATATGTAGAAATAATAGAAAGCACTTTTGTTGATCGAACATGGGAAAAAATAATCCTTATATAATTTAAATAGCAAATCAAACATAAAGCGGTATAAGAAATCTTATATAAATATAAACTTCAATTTAAAATAGATAAAATGTTTCACTTGCATATATAAAACTTCTAACACAGATAAAACTTTGTAGATTTGAAAAGATCAGCTTTTAAAACATTATACCCATCATTCCGTTTGTAGCGTACTCAGGGTTTGAAACGGCGAAAGTCTGCGAAGACAAATAATCGTTCATCTCTGCTGAAGCTAATCCTTGGTCAAAATCAGAAACAGCATAGAGATTCTTATTATTTATTGTATCCTCCTCTACATCTTGATTCTGAAATGAAGCATGCGCCACATTCCGATTTAAATTAATTTTAAAGACCTCACCTTTCGATCTTTTTTGCTAAAATCGATATTACCAAAAAATAAAAAAACTTTCTTGCATATAAAAAGTATATTGGAAGACAAAACAAGCCTCGAAATCTCACGGATTATTAACAACAATTAACAATATTGCATTGAATATTAACCCCAGATCATATCTATAGCATTCCTAATAATGTATTCTCGGACCCTTAATCATGACATTTGCATTTAGAACTCCTGAAAAGTTGCTGTGTATTTGTTCAAATAAAAGTGTCTCACCAACAAAGCATTATTGACCATTTCATCAAAAGTCGGACCAAGTTTCATTCTTCCCATTTCAATGTGGAAATTGGTCAACTGTACCAATAATATTTTCAAATAATATGGCAGCTGCAACCAAATTTACCAAATGCGTGCATCAAGTTTATTACTAGAGCTCATTTGTCTTCATGAAACCAACAATTTCTAATAAACTTAGAATTCCATTAGAAATCGATGACTAAAAATTCTTATTTCACTAAAAAATAACGAACCCCCATAATATGATTTGCAAGAACAACCGACGCAAAATAAAGTTGGATCAATTCTGTTTCAACACGTATTTCACGATTAATATTCACATCACTAAGGCAAGGCCTTGGTTCTCTGTAAAAAAAATGTATCTCATTATTAAACATTCTTATTCTTACAAAACAAATATGCTTAAAAAATAAAATTTATGTTTTTTATCTGTGATCTAAACATGGTCAAAGATAAAAAATTTAGTTTTGGACATATTGGAAGTTACTAAAATTTCAAATGGATGAACTCAAAATAACATCGTAAATGAAGGACAAGAGGTTTCATAACGGACATAGCTTAATAACAAAAATTGACTTACTTGATTTCAACTTTATGTTTTATGTAGCTTCTACGCAAATCGATCATTTCCTTCTGCATATGGTCTTTTGCAAGTTCGCAAAATAATTTCAATAATTTCACTGCCACCTACAAATTAAATAAACAATACTATCATATTATACTGGCACAATAAAGATACCAAAAATTGAGAGTAAGCAAACAAAAAATGGAACAATTCATTCATTAAATACTCGAATACAATTTATCGTTTGTCGAAGTATAGCTCCTGTAGAAAATCCGAAATAATTTCATAATATAAAAATATTTACATGAAGCATTTTTGCATTCTAGATAATTGTGCCATAGAAATCTTTTATTTCAAATTCTCAGTTAAACGCTTAGATGCTAAATGTTTATTCTGTTAATGTACGATTCCAAAGAATATCGTCAATGACTATTATCAAATGATCTTTTGTTTACCATTAGCTTCATCTATCAGATGACTAGACAATTCTTTGCTCACCATCACTTTCGTGCACAAATTGACTACTTGTCTATTTACCATAAACAATGCTCACCAAGCACAGCCCAATTCGAAAGAAGCGTATTACAGTATAACTTACTGTTTTGAAACGAAAGGGCCTTACTATCTAGACTCTTCTGAACCATTATTTCAACAGCTAGTCTAGAATTATCAGATCAACCAGTAAAAAAGAATAATTAAGTGGTCGACTCAATCGACGTTATTTTAACAATTGTATTATAACGTCACAAAGAATAAACCTCTCCTCAAATAATAAAATCTTCATTACAATTCGACAATTCGACCATGACACACAAAGCTACCCTCAAAAAGAATTTTATAAAGAGAGAAAAAATATTCACAAAGCTCCGTTAATATCAAGCAAGAAAGTCACGATCATTTAAAAGAAAACAAAAAAGAACATTCATTAAGTACCGTTCACTTCAGACCTACTGAATGAGGCTTACTTGATTTTCGATTTCCAAAACATGAAACGGTGCTGCAGTCAAGTCTTCTATACTTCTTTTATCATAATGTATTGCGCAAATTACAGCTTCCTGAATCAACAGCAATGGTTCAATTAGCCGAAGTCCTAAAAGTAAATATCCATATTGCTTCAGAGTTGAAGGGACTGTTAAAGCACATACAAAGAAACCTATAAACATTATATTTACAGATTTCCTGCCATAGAATTTAACATAAGTAAATTCAGAATTACTGTAACCAACGCCAATTTCAATTCGAAAATGTTTCAGAAAATCAAAAGTCCCATAGTAAAACATTTGACGCATATGATATAAAGACATAAAACTATCATCAGCTCAAATTAAGTTCAGAAATACAAATATTTTCCAAAAATTTAAGCTAGAATTTTTTATGTACTTTTAATTCAACAGAAAAAGCTTAAATGAACAAAAAGTGAGTAACGAACCGTAAAATGAACTTTCCGAAATCTCTGTAAGCAAAGGTACTATTTGACGAGACAGATCAATCTGATTAGCGATTGCTCTAATAACTTCTACTAAGCCATCTATTTTGTTACTCGAAAATACACTGTGACTTCGGATAACATCAACAAATGCACCAGATATGTCATGTCCAACAATATTTACCGATGTTGAAAACCCTAAAGACAATTCTCACTGTAAACAGATTACAGTTGAGGCCAAATCTGAACGTATTTGCGCATTTTATATAAAGAGTGAAATCGCATATTTGTGCAAGAATCCATGCTGGGAACGGAGTTTGCAGTGACATTATAAATCCCTCACCATCTTTTAATATATCCAACGCCAACTCAGAATGAATAGTTGCCAACTCAAAGAGTTTTCGCAGAAGACTGCGACTAGAAATATCGCTGTCATCTGCATCAGTTTTCACTGCTTTCAACATTTGTTTATTTTCTTCTTTCAAGGCCTCGTAAAGCAGCAGTGGAATCTGAATTTTGAAACTTTGTTTATTATTCAAAAACTTTCCATTGCAAATATTTCACCGTTTCAGTAACAAATACATGTCTTTCAGCTTATTTCACTAAATTCAACAGATTATGCTGCAATAGCAAAAACTCTCTTCCTAGGGCCCAAAAAACAGCTCAAAATTTTCTAGCGCAGCAGTTTTAATTTTATTTTGGATGACAACTTTGAAATGCTTTAACAAAATAAACATTAAAACCAAACAAATATACAACTAACCTCCCTCTTGTAAGATGTGAGGCATTTGCAAAACCAAGAAGCTACAGCATATCTGTAAGCCCATAATGACTTATCAAAGCAAGTGAGCAAACTGTTAAATGCATTTGTCTCGATAACCACCCCATCCTCTAAAACAAAACTCTGAAAAAGTCTGAAAAAAGAAAAATTGAAAAGAGAAAAAAAAACCATACAAAAACTGCAGTTCAAATTGATTAATGAAGCTGATTATCATAACTTTTAGCAGTAAAATTATCTTGATAAATATACGTAAAAGCATGCCTTTAAGCCGTTCACCCAATAACCGCAAGCAATCTTGGCAAGAACCGACAAGCGTACAATCGTTAAAGTCTTTATTTTCATTTATTATGTCTAGCAAAATTGAAATCAACTGTAGAATGGAGATCCCAGAACTGTTCCTGATTGCAGTTTCATTTTCATCCAATTTTATACCTAAAAATTCAATGTGGTGAAAGTGAGGAAAACTTCCACATAATATGTTATTTTTGGCCATCAAGATACAACAACTGGTGCTACTGAAACGGTAAAGCTAATCAATCACAGCTATTTAAGACGAATAAGTCTGAAATCAGTCCAGCCAAGTATTTGTAAATCATTTTTTTCTTTAGCTCTTTAATATAAATTTTGGAGCTTAGAAATAATGTGAAAGTAATAAAGGGTCAAGCACTGGATGATATTTTCTTACCCTCTTCAATTTTCCAGATTATCGGAGTACGTCGTGCACCAAAAGATGTCAATAATTTCTTTTCAATTTCTAGTGCAATTTCTTGGTAAAACACATGTTTTAGTGTCGGCAGAACAATATGATCTAGGATAACAGAACCGTCTACGAGGGCAAAATCAACAATGTCCCCAAAAGCTTCTTCATTATCACTTCCTTCATTTTCTGCAAAAAGTTTAAATCACAATGATTCATTCCTGATTGCTATAATACAAGAATAAAGTAGGAACTTGGAACAGCTGGAACCATTCCACTTATATTCAGTTAACTTCACATCGATAAAATGTGAATAATTTAAATTCAATTAGTTCAGAAATAAGAATGACCTCTTTCGTTCTTTCCATCCTTTAATAATGCATGACGTTCACGACACAGTGCCGCACATAAGTAAACGAAATTTCGACGTTTTGCATCATATTGTATAGATGACCGCTCGATAGTCATAATAACTCTTAAATCAAGGAAATTTTGATACAATGCAAAAGTTGTTTTTGAGATTCCATAGCGGCAAAAAATGACTTTTTATTACTGAACTAGAGGAAAAATTAACCTCAGAGGAAAAATTCCTATTAATAAATTGAAAATTACCTCAGTGCAAACATCAGTACTGGTGTATTACGTTTAGTCCTGCTGTCGCCATTAAACACTGCTTGGAATTCAATCTTACAATATTCTGGCAGCTTACGCAAAATCTTCAAAGAGCTAATAACAACAATGGAGGTAAACTGCCTTAAATATATGAAGCTAAGAATTTGAAAACGTATAAACTCACTCTAACAAGATTTGGTACCATTAATACATTCTCCAAACACTGAAGAAAGAGTGATATCAATGTATCAACAGGTGACATCATTAAAAGCCATGCACACTGCAAAAGAATAGTAAAGCAAGTATTTCTCCGACACTGTAACTACTTATTAATTTTACAAACAAACGGGTTTTTAAAGGAAATTCTTATCTTAAGCAAGAAGTTAGAAAACATACACTTGGCAAAGTAAGTGTTTGATAAGAACAAAACTACTGAATAAGCAAAACTACTGGAAAAAACTGAATAAGCGAAATTAATTGTATTTTGCTTAATTGTGAATACAATTTAATTAATAATAACAACCTCATTAACTGCTTTTTCCAATTTAATTTGATTTGTATGAAGTTGTGCGTAGTCCCCAATGAGATTGAGAAAATTTTTCTTGTCTTCTTCGAAATTCTAACATGAAAATTTTTACAGATAAAGCTATTTAAGACCACAAAGAAATGCCAATTAAAAAAGAAATAAAATTATAAGCTATCAACCTTAGTAACCACGAATATTCTGCATTCAATCTAGTGTGCTCCCCAATAAAACATAGCATAAGATATGTTTTCGCATTTATTCGTAGCCCGCTGACTCACCTGTCAGCGATTCAAAACTCTAAACACTAAATTTCATGTAATGGTAACAAGTTATGGGATTTTTTTTGTAAACTCAGAATGAAATACCTGATAGAGGCGTTTGAAAGTCTTCTGACTGCCATTTACTTCTCGGAATGCTCCGTAAAAATAGGCCATTATTGCATTCCAATCGTTGTAACTACATGCGATGTATTTCAAAACTTTTAAAAACTCATCAGAAATACGAGGGTCGGTTGCTGCTTCTACTTTGGGTAAAACGCTGCATGCTCTGCAAATTGTGACTATCTTTATCATTTCAAAACAGTAAATATAAGCAGAATATTAGAAAAGTCCATATAATCATCTAATCCAACAATTTTACGATGCTGATATTACTCTACATCAGACATAGCCTTGCATTGTCTCTTGAAAATACTGTGACAGTGCTGTTAATAAATCCTTACGCATGTCTGTAAATATCAGAAAATCAGATAAAAAAATACTTTTTGAAAAGAGCAAAATCAACTTTTCCAGCTAAATCGAATTCGAGAAGCTTGCGCATTTCAAATATATCGAAGTCGTGAAGTATGATTTTATTAACGAGTTTCTCCACACCTTGTCTGAATTTTTCGACACATTCATCATCAACAATTTCCTGCAAATAAAATTAACTTGATTACAAATAATCAGTGATATATATGCCATTTCCTTCATAGAAACAATTAACATTACCTTAGTATTTTAATATTACCTTAGTATTCAGAGCCTTTGATGTAAAGAATAAAAAGTTTTTCTGCGCAAAAACCGAATTCGCTTCTTTACTGGATTGCATTATCTATAATTTGAAAATACTGAGGAACTTATATTACAAAAATTTTTTAAGATACATTTACGTGTAAAGAAATAGCTGATTATTTGACAAAGGTCCTCTTACTTGTCCATACATTTTCAAAGCTTCTTTTGGTAATTTCCTCTTCAAAACGTCCAATCCTGAAATGTTATTCACGATTTGTATTCACAGTGAGAATAATAGGATGCAATTTCAGTAATAGATATTTAAATTTTGGCTCACCCGGTTGATTTAAAAATTGTCTGGCAGCGTAATAAATCCTCTCCAATTCACTCACTTCATCTAACAAGAATAAGTATGGAATAGACCTAAAATTTGAAATAAAAGCAGATTTCAGATTCTGCTGATTAAATATTACTGAATAATTCCAAACAATATGAATAAATCTTAGTTCTTGAACTTTTAAAATTAATTCTATAATTAAATAGAAATCCATTCAAAAAAAGAAGCATAATATGAAAGACCTGATATCATATATTGTATAAAAAAGGAAAAGACAATTTGAAAGCACATCTGCAAGTTTTTCTCCGCTGCATTTATCATACAATTCCCATGAATCCTCAGTCTTCAAATCAATATTTATGCTGCAAAAACCGCCTTAATTTTTGAAAACTTCCAATGTCATTGCAAAAGAAGCGATACTGCTTAAATAATTTCCACTTTATATTATATACATAACAAGTAAGTCTCAACTTTATAAATAAAAACATTTTAATGTACTGAAAGATATCATTATTCAACTTTTACTCTGACCGACAAGATTAGATGCCTTAGCAATGAATAGCAATATTTAATGCAGCGAATACGATAAAATAATTACCTTTTCTCCTTGGCATATGCCCTAATTGCACTAGCAGTGTTTGTTGAAATCCGTTTCATGATATCATGAACCAATTTGCGAATCTTTTGCCTTCTACCGAACTGAAGTTCGGCACACCAAAGAATTTCGACTAATTCTTTGAGTGTCCGATGAGGCAAACAATATTTTACCAATTCACTCGCCGAAGCATACAATCCGCTGGCATTTTTTAGGATCGAAGAAAAATGTTCCAACTACAGAAATGAGTGCGATTGTTAAGCTATACAACAAACAATGATAAAATTAATTGAAAAGTATAAATCTGCAAAGTGTTTTGACTTTTATTTGGCAATAAATTAGTGAAAAAAATGAAAGAATATTTCGCCTTAAAATATATGCCATGTAGTAATGATAATGAAATAATCTGAATAAACAACACATCGCTTAATCGCTAGATGGTAACAAAAAAAAGAAAAAGTGATTAATTATCAATAAACATAAAGAGAGCAAATAAACCTCAATAATCGCTTTTTGCAAACTGATCACCATTGCTGATTAAAAGTTCAATGCTAAAAACAATTTGTTTACATTTTCTTTTTGAAACTTCATTTATTCCAAACTAATTTCATGCGAAACACTTCGTAATTGTAAAAAAGTAGTCTCTTACTTTTGCTATTGGTATTCACTACCCGTATCTTCATTATCTTTCAACACTAATCATACTGAACGAAATCTATCTTTTGTCTATCGATCACAAACTTTAATTCAATATGTCAATGCACTCAATCCATATCTAGCAAATTTAATATTTATCTATTGGTGCTACCAAAAATTATCAGCCTCAAAAAATGACCTCTTCTTGACCTCCACAAACCTAATTACCCACCTTATCAGCAAAATTTCGATATAATCACACCATCATTGCCTCTCTTACAGCCAACTCTTCAATAGCACTGTGAAAAACGTGTCTCACAATGAGAGAGCGTTTCCAACAGTCCATTACTTCTATTGGTCATTTCCATCGGTCACTACTTCATTATTTCCACTGGTCAATACTAATAAGGGTGAGGGGTTGTAAGTGATAATATGGCTTTCACATTACAAAAATAGATATGATGAATATATGCAGAATTCATTGTCTGATTAGAGAGGACTGCTTTAAGTATCAATCGCTTCAATCCTTTATCATAAAACTTATCTTCATCAAATTCTACAGTAAGTAAATGGTTCTCGTGGATACTATAAGGGTATGTTTTCGAATAAGAAGCCACATTATATCAATTTGAATAGACATAAACGGAAACATAAGCAAATTTGTCAATTCTTGAAATGATTGCAAAGTAGATTTCGTATTACATTTCTTTACAATCCTTATTAACTAACATTTTATTTACTCTTTACTTATACTTTCGCATTTATCAATTTTAATTTACCATGTTCATCATAGAAAATATGGGAAAAATTTTGCTGAAATTTTCGAAAAATTTTTGATAAAAATGTGTAATAATCGCGATTAATAGTTTTTTTTTTTTTGATTTGAAAGCGCAGGAAAATTAACCGAAAACAAAATTAAATTGTATTACAGCGCATTTGATCCATTTACTAAAACAAAAAAGTTGTTTGTTTTACAATTTCACAACGTACGAATCATCTCAACGATCGAGAAAAAGAAATGCGAAAAATTTTTTCTTTTCTTTGCAATTTGCAAACTTTAAAAAGGAATTTCTTCTCCATCCCTTCCTTTCTGCACCAATTTTATCAAAAAAAATTATTTCTCAAAACATTAAAAAAAAGTAAACATAAATTAACAAAGAACTCTTTGTTTAAATTTTATTTCAATAAATACCGTTTTTTTTTATCGGATACATCTTTTATTTCCTAATTTATAATCCCATAAATATTTAGATTTTATCTTTTAATTATTATTTCAGTAGTAACGACATAACTATGATGGAATTGTTTGCAAATGAATAAAAGAATGAATGCGTATTGAATTTATTTCAATCATGGATTCATGGACATTGTCTCTGCATGCTAACATATCACATATATCATTTTAATTTCAAAGAAAGGATCACTGGAATTTTATTTTCAAAGAAAGGATCACTGGAATTTTATTTTCAAAGAAAGGATCATTGGAATTTTATTAAATTTTTAACATTTATAGTATAGGTTTACTTTGTGATTGCTATATCATACGTTGGAAATGATAACAATAAAAATTACTCCATTTTATATGTTTTTCTTAATGTAAATTTTCGGATTTTTTTGTATTTCAAATTGTAACTCCAAGAATTTTACAAAATTTTATTACTGCAAAATGCTATATCCATCAAAATATTTGCACTCATAATTATTGCCAGCAACTTTAAATTTCAATTTCTTTGCTGCTTGTTAAAGGGAAAACTTTGATATCTAACTTTATTTCTTATTAATTTTTATGATTATCAGCGCTGTTTTTTTTCCTGAATTTGACTATCAAAATTTGCGTGCCACATGTTAATGTCAAGTTTTAAGCAAAATTTTACTAAAAATTTATAATGAATAGTACTGGATCTTTGTAAACTGCAATATTGTAATTTATAAATAAGAAAAGGAAATTGAAATTGTGGATGCTTTCACAATATTTATTTTTGCGAAATACTAAAAAAAAATAAATAAGTAAATGTTCGTACAGCGACCGAGTGGAAATACATCAAATTGAATATTCAGAGAAAAAGATTTAACATGGAAATGCTGAGCATTTTTGAAGAAATTCAAAAATTGGCAGTTCTCCATTTCTTAGCCCATGGTTTATTTTCAAATTAACTTCACCCTGAAATTCAAAATTATCAGCTAGTTCAAACAATTTTGAATAAAAAACATGAAGGAAAAATACTTTACCCTCATAAAAATATCAAAAATTTGCGGAAGAGAATAATTTTGATAAGAAGTAACAGGTTGCAATTTAATTGAAGATAGAATTACTTATATTCAAACTATGTGTTAGGGAAAAATTTTAAAACTATGTGGAAGTGAAAATGTGCAAATGCTTTCCATTATTTCAGTAGCGTTCTGAGACTGAAAAAGTTTAAAAATCAAAAATATTCTGCATGCTACCACTCAAAAGCATCTATTCCTTTTGAATCAATATTTTATTAAATGAAATTTGAACTTTCAACTAAAATGCCTCTCTTAATAACGCATTTATAGTTCTTGATGTTTTAATCATAGCTTCTGATGTTTTAATCTATCTGTTAATTATTGCTAGAATATCTTCATTATATCTTTTTCACTTTTGTTTCTCTGGAATGCTTCGAAATTTGCTTAAAATTTGAAATTCAAAACACAAAGAAAAATTTTAGAATGATCCGTCAAAGCCTTTATCGAATTCATTACACTTTTATTTTCCACTTTTCTATTATTATAGGAGTTACTCATCAAAACTGATCATCTGATAGCTTACTTGACTTTACTGATGTTTCCGTTTTCTCTTGCTTTTCCGAACCTTCATCCTCCTTCACTTCCTCTTTTGCTTCACCCACCGTTTTCGACTCCTCCGTTTTTTCCGTTTCCTTCTTAGTTTCATCTTTAGCTGTTTCCGCTAACTTTTTATCCTTTTCATCTTCTTTTTCTTCCTTTACTGGCTCATCAGGCTTACTTTCATCTTTTGGCGCTTCCGCAGGCTTACCGCCCTCTTTTGACGCTTCCGTGGGCTTGTCGCCCTCCTTTGATGCTTCCGCGGGCTTTTTGCTTTTCTTCGCTTCTTCCGTAGATTTTTCACCTTCTTTTGATGTTTCTGTAGGCTTTTCGCTCTCTTTTATTGCATCAGTAGTTTTTCCATCATTTTTTGGTATTACTGAAGCGCTTCCATCAATTTCCTGTTTCTTTGGCTCTGTGGATTTTTCAGTCTCATTTTTTTTGTCCTCTTTTGCTTCATCTTTCGTCGGCTCTTTTTCGCTATCTTTGGGTGATAGTTCTACTGGTGCCGTCTCAGATTTTTCTCCTTTCGTTTCATCTTTTGAATGTTCGGATTTTGATTCTTCATTTTCCTTCGTTTCCTTCAATGCTTCTGGTTTCGAATGCTTCTTATCTTCTTTCGCTTCTTCTTTGCCAACTTTTTTTGAATCCTTCTCCTCTATCTTAATTGGGTAAATGAAATTTAGAAGAGAAAACAGTCCGCAAATTTATAATTTAATATTAATATTTCCAGGTACCAATGTCTTTTATTAAAGAGAAACTAATTATAGAGAGGGAGAGAGGGGAAGGAAGAGAGGGAGAGAATAAAGAACCTAAAGATTTTAATCTGCACTTCTCTGCTTAAGAAAATTAGGAAATATTTGGAATCCGTCGAAAAGTTTTCACGCCGAACACAGTTTGATTTTTCTCATGAGCCTAAATTTTACAACTGGTCTTTTATACGATAGACCGAGAATGTTGTAGAATTCGTTCTGAAATTCTTGAAACTTTTGAAAATCTGATCTATTTTTATACCATAAACTTTTAGAGTTTAATCATATAAATGCGAACAACAGACAGATTAGGTTTTTTAAACTTGTGATTTTTTCTGGAAGTAAGAATTGATTCCTTTCTACAATTAAACAAATTCCAACAATAGGTAAATAAATTCATACCTTGGCAGCAGAAGCCTCTTCTTTCCCGGCTGTTCCAACAGCCTCATCTGAAATAGTGTAGATTTTTGTAGTGTGTAGATTACTTAAGATAACTCATTTTTCGATATTAAAATATTGATAAAACGATAATTTTATGGCGCTTTTTATTGAAAGATATCCCAGCCAGAAAGTTTAGGTGCCATCAAGAATTTATAAGTAGTAAGTAATACTATTTTAGATTTGAAACAGTCGCTTTATAATTTTTAGCATTACTTAAATTTTTTAAGTACAATATCACAGATGAAATTAGATATAATAATTGAATGTTTCTAATTGAAATTTCATATTTTTATAAGTGAATGAATTGAAACAAACTTGGCTTCGGTACTGGATTCGACAATACAACGATTGATAAAAAGAATAAAACAAAAGCTACTAGCAATTTCATTCTTCTTGCCTAAATGATTTTTCATTTATTAAAAATATCTTTCTGAGTAACGGAATTGATTTGTTCGGAAGGACCAAAAAAGATCGTACGCCTTATTATCGTTTAAAATTTACAGTTGTAAGGAATTCGATTAACTTATTGATTCCAAAATTTAGCTTATTTGCTTCATTAGCCTTTCTAAACGAGAGTTTTCCTGGCAAAATGTAGCCCGAGCAAAAATTTCAGGACAGATTATGACTATCAAAATGAAAATGACATTTGCTGAATGCTGTTAATCTGAATAATAAAAGGAAAATATTTTATAGCTATAAAACTTGGGAGAACTGTGAGTAGGAATGGAGAAGAGATTTATTTATATCTTGCCAAGTGGCATTTGTTAAGCAAATATGACTTCAAGAAATTTTCAATAAAAGTTTTTAATGCCAATTTGAAACTTTCAAGTTGGCATTTTAAACTTTCGATTTTGCATTTTAAGTTTAATTGTTTATTTTCCACTTAAATAATAAATAAAACTACAATTTCAACTGGAATAAACTGTATTTTTATGCTATGAAATCAATTTTACACGATCCAGCAAAGTGGAGTTTAAAAAAAAAGGTAGATGAAATTGATTTTTTTTTGTAGCTTGAACTTCATTGAAACGAAGTTTTCTTGACATTTCCTTTCAAATTTTAGAGTTGAAATCTGAAATGTTGAATAATTTAAATGAAGAAAACTTGAGCAAGTGATGGATAGAGCAGCTAAATGTTCCAATGAAGAATTGAAATCAGGATAAAGAGAAAACGGAAATGATCACTATCAGTTTGATGGATAATTTGATCAAAGGTTGCTCCTTTCATCTTCTTCCTTTTCCATCATTTCTCGTAATTTTTGAAACATGTTAACTAGACAAATGTTTTAAGATAAATTAATTGTACGCCCTTGAATCCAACTCCGACAACAAATGACGGTATGCGGTAAAAAAATTCTTCTCAAAAATTTGATCTTTGATACGTATTTTTACAAAAAGCATACATATAACATAACGGAAAAGAATGAGTTAATTCTCTCTCTCTCTCTCTTCAAATATGTCAGCAATATCTTGAAAATGCATTGGTATTGTCATTATTTCAACTATCCGACTTAGACAATTGTCCAACCGTTAAATGATTTAACGAAAGAGTAAAGATTTTCACGTCCTTCAAAAACTATTTTACCTTGCAAGAGAAAATATGAATCAATTTAAAAAATTAAAGAAATATTACAATGAAGGAAAAAATGTTACCATAAAAGTTGTTCCATCTTTGTTTACTTTTAAAAGTTTATTATTTTATATGATTTGTTCATTTATTACGATAAAATTTCTTTCGAAATAATTTATGCAACAGCAAATGGTCGTAAATTTAAGCAAAGAAGATTATCTTAAGCAAATACTTCCTGGAAGCAAATTTCAATTAATTAATATTAATAATACGATATATAACATCGTGACAACCTTTATATGTGAGTGGAAAAATTTACATTTTGATGATAAGAAAATGTAATTCTTAGATGAATAATTTCTCAAATTTTATATGTTTATGGCATTTACGAAACATTTTTCAGGAAAATATAAAAAAATGAGAACAATCAGCGTCAGTTTCAAATTTTTTATAATTTTTTTTAAAATTGAATAAATTCCTTCAATAGCTTAAAATGCAGTATATGAATGAGATTGTGTGCTAAAGTGTGACAGACAGTGTTGATGTCTGAAATCTGAAGGTATAACAAATATCTCCGAATTTTTCCCTAAAGCAAGTAAAGCATATTTCATTGTAATGTTAAAATCCTTTTATCTTTTTTAAAAAAAAATGGATGGTCCTTTTATCCTATTCATTCTATGATAAGTTAGTTTTCTTAATTAATAAAATCGTGTGATTTGAAAATTATTTTAAAAATCTATCCTCTAATTGATTAAGTCAATTCATTGATGAATAATTAACCAAATAAAGTTTTTTTTTTTATAATATTGAAGCAAGATTTGTGATCATGGAAGAAAACAATGGCCTACTTGCGAACCGGAGCTATGCCATCTCAGACATAAAGGAAAAATATAAGATGGATGAGACGGACGGATAAGAATGATCCGACAGATCATCATCATTTTGAAGTGATCCATTACATTTTATGATCTTTTTCAGCAATTAAATTCAGTAATTGATATCTAAAACGCTACTTTTTTAAAACATTCACTATTTTAGTAATTTTAAAATATTCATTTTAAAATATTTTAGTAATTTTAAAAAATTAGTAATTTTAAAATATTCATCATTCTTTGAAATGACAGTACATAATTGATGAAAATGGAAAATAATAAAGAGAGAAGAATGGAATAGATTTATTAGTCTGAAAATTTCTCGATACTTTTTTAAAATTATCCAATTGAAAAATCATTCCAACTTTTTATATCATTCACATCTCGCTGAAATGGTTGAAGTTAATATTATGAACAAATGAGATAAATGAGTATGAATTACCAACGAAAAAAAAATGTATAAATAATAAAGGTGTAAATAACATTAGAATTTATTCTGTTTTTATTCTGTAAAAGTTATTTTGTGAAGAAAGATTAGTAAAAATAGGTTCGTTTTTTTGTCAATAAATAAATTCGATGTTTAGTTTGCATCAAAAACTTTTTGATGATTTTTTTTGGATTTACTTTTTGTATAATCTTACTTTTTGTATAATCTTAACAATGAATATTTGTTGAAGAAATTTTTATGAAAAGGAAAAAAAATTGGTACATTGCAGGCTTGAAAAATCTTTATCTACATCTGTTATTGCTAAAAGATGAAATAAAAAAATTGAGGGATGGTAGGAAGAATTAGCTAAGATAGTATTCTTTAAAATTGATTGTATTGACAGTAATACAAATATAATTCATTTTAATAAGTGACAAAAGCGAGACACTAAATAATTCTTGTCTTCCCGATCTAAATGATTTGTATTTATTCTTTTTAAAAAAAGCTAAACGTTTAAAATTTTTTTCCATTTTTTAAATAGGATATTGCACTCTTTATGCTTTCTTTCCGGTTATGAACCACTTTTTCATTTTATCCATCATAATTGTATCCTTCATAAATTGTTCATTTTTATGATCGGTAAAAATGGTGGAACATGAAAATGTTGAAATATTCACAACACGAATGTTTAGCAATCATTTTTGGTAATTCATGCATGGTTCATGAATATTTTGAACAAACAACTTCATAGTCACATGAACAAATTCGAAAATAAAATTCGTTTTGAAAATTATTCATTGAAGAAAATGCACATTCTCTAATTTGCTGTATAATTGAAACAAGCTTTACAATGAAAGAATGATAAAATGAAAATAAAATGAATCGGAAAAAATTCGAGTGTTTTCTATTTTTAAATTGCCTAAAAAAACTGAGCCAATATTTTTTGATTATTTAAACATGTTCTTGCAAAAATTTATTATATTCCATTCAAAAAACTTTGGAATTGATAATGTAATAAGCAATTTTCATCATTTATATCCATTTTAAGGAGCAATTTGATATAATATAAAATAAATGCATTCATTTTAGCAATAATTTTGAGCCGAACTGTGAAAATAATAACCAATTAATCTAATGCCACTTCTAAGCTAACACTTCGAAAAAACAAATTCAACTATCATATCATGATACTAAATAAAATAACCCTCAATAATTGGAAATAATTAATCAACGAGCAGCCAACCAGTCAACTTATCACTATCAATGGATAGGTTGACTGGTTTTTCAATTTTCATGAAAGACGAATTTTCATGAAAGACGAATTAGAAATAGTATGATAAGAAAAGTGGCCGGTGATAGTAATGAAATTCTTTCATAGACCAAATAATTCCAATGAACATGTTACCATAGAAATAATTATAAGATGTTGAATTTTCAAATTAATTTCTATTTATATAGTTTTTGTGGGTCGATCACGACAATGTACGCCTTCCCTTTCCACTTTTATTTTTTGAAAAAATGTCGTCTTTTAACTGTCGAAAAAAGATACAAAAGAAGAATATGGAAATGAATTATTCCTTTCATCAATTGTGTCGAATTTACTTCTTTTAGTTGTCAGATTCTATAAAATTTGAATTTTTCTTTCGATATTTTGTAACAAAGGAATAATGGTACATGCAGAATAGAACAGCATATGGAAAATTTTTTAATTTCAAATTTCATAAAATTCAATTTAATTTTCTGCTTCTTCGTTTTCTCCTTTGTTCAAAATGTAATTACGGATTTTAGTATGGTGCAGTAGAAGATTTGTATATTTTTTAAACTGTGTTGAAATTTGATTAAAATAAATAGGACTTATAATTTTAGATTTTATATAATTTTGACTTAGATCGGCATTTTATTTTGGTAACGTTTAAATGATCAGATGTTGGTTTTAATGTGAATCATCTTAAATGAAATTTACATGAAAAGGTTAAGTGATGAATGATTGCAAAGGATTACATTTTATGCATCGCAGATCGCTATATTTTGACTTTTAGAAGCGTAAAATGTTGAAGATGTCTAAAAAGCAACAGAAATATTTCTCTTATATTTCACATTTTTTCTGTAAAATAATATGGCACACATAAAAAATGTCACATTCAGCAAAACTAAAATGCTTCCTTCAATTGTCAAATTTATCATTTTACTACTTAACTTACAGTACAGTTAATGTATATTTCAATCTTTTGAGATATTCTACAATTCATCGTTAGCTCTCTGAAGACACTTTGTTTCGTCGCCTTCTGTAATCACAAAATAGTAGATTATGAGGAAGAGAAGGAAAACGACCGGATATAGCGTCCGGCAATATTTATCGATGTGACGAGCGGTTGAATGGTAACGACCTGACTCCAACATAAGCAACATCATCTGATATCGAGACATATCATCCACACCTGACTCCGCTTTCTTCCGCTGTAATTATTCCCCATTGATTAATTATTTGAAACGAATGCATAAAAATAGGAAAGAATGAATTTGATAATAGGAGAAAATTTGCAGTTTAATTTTACAAATCTATTTTGTAAATTAAAAATCTAAGCCAGTTAATAGTGGCTTGAATCAATGTTACGAAATAATTGTTTCTTTTTCAACACTAAAGCTAATTTTAATTAATCAAAACTTTTACATTTGGAAAAATAAATGAAATGCAATGCTATAAAGTTAGGAAAAAAAATGTGGATATATCAAAAAGGATGCATAAAGGAGAAATTATTTTTAAAAAATAAAGAATTTTGTAAAAACGATTTAAAACAGAAAAAAAATTCACAAAAGTGAGTTTTTGAAAATTTATACATGCAATGAGTGAAATAACTGGTGGATAAGAATAACATCAGTATCAGAATAAAAAATAAAAACAATTTACCAATTCTCGAGACTTATGTTCGAGTGAAATAACAATTAAAGCTTCAAGCATTGTTATAAAGACAAAACTTGCAGTGAAGCCAAACCAGAGATCAATAGCCTAAATAAAATAAATTTTACAAATAAATCCAAAATCCTTTTCTACACCTTTCTTTTTTTTTAAGTAATATTTTCTTCAATATTAAATGCTTCAGTTAGAAGCAAAAATTCTAAAAAGCTATTAATAAGTGCAAAATTGAAACGAAATTAATAACAATCTAAAAAATATGAAACATTGAAATTCAATCAAAGTTTTATAAGTTTTACTTATCTAGCAAAAAAAAAGTTGCTAACCTTCATGTACGAAACTTTTGGCAATACTTCTTTAACAGCGCTGCTTTCAGCACTGAGCGTCAAAAATAGCGTTAGTGAGCCGAATATTCGACCGGTAAAGAATTCTTCAGGTAACCAAACGCCAATCCAAGAAAAGACAACGCAGGTTGCTGTTGGAATGTAAGTTCGTGTTATATGATAGCTAATACTGCGTTTCAATCGACAGCTTGCTTCCAAACATGAGAAGTTACCTGTGTTGATTAGACTTAAAGATTCTTGGAACTTCATTAAGTTGCATTTGTTTAAATAGTTAAAGCATAATTGTATATATTATTCATCTAATTATTGATTTTCAATATTTAATCTAATTTAAATAAAAGTAATGTTTTCTAAGGATCTTTTTTCTACTTTTTTTATTCTTTTTATATGAACTGAACTTTTCTATTTTACAAAATACAAATAATTTACTATTTATGAATTTAAAATTCTGGGAGTATATTAAATACCTGTTTTGCGTACACCATCACAGTATCGTTTATAATATTTCTCGACGTAAAGTTCCGCTTTCATAAGCTTATTCATTCGAATTGCATCACTTAAGCGAGGAAACCAATTGTACCGTATTGAATTTTGACCTGATGCTATTTGCACTAATTTAATTTCCACACGATTAATTTATTGATGCATGTGAACATTTAAATAAAATATCAAGTAAATATGTGTGAAAAACCTGATAAGTATTTAAATAAATATTAAGTAAAGTGTAGAAATGTGAATTTGAGCAATTGAAGTGCAGAAGTTTAAACTGCAAACATTTTTTACTAAGTTTTCTTTTTTTCACCAAACTGTAATATATTTTCTATTACAATTAATGTGCTATCTCATCTTAGATATTTTAATTTTAATAAATTTTTTTTTAAAATCATTTAAAGATAATTCGAATCTCATATTGTACTCTTACCTGCACAGCAACTTTTTTTTTGTAAAACGATTATGCAGTGAAAAAAAATAAATTAAATATTACTTACTAGCAGTGATCTTCAATGAACATTCTTGATTATCATGAGGATATTTGCAAAGGATAAGTTTGCATGATGGTTTCAGGTAGATGCTATAAATATTGTATATTACAAAATTTGTGCCTGTAAATTTAATTATTTTAATGATTTAATAAAATCATTTTTTAGAATATTATTATACAATAAATAAATTAATTCATTCTCATTATGTTAAACTTTCGACTGTAATTAAAATTAACGTACTGCGTTTCAAAGAAAATTTCACCGTTAGGAAATACATATAACCAGAAATTTAGCGTTGTCATTCGGTGATATCGGGCCTCTTTAGCATTCTGAAAGAATGGTTCCGGACGCCAAATTTTCCTGTAATTATCACTGATTGGATAGTATTGCATTTCTAAATTATCAAAGCTTATAAGTGATTTTGCGAGAAGGGAATTCAATCATTTAAACAAAAGGCAAGGCAGAAAATTTTGTGTTAATTAGCAATTTGATTGAAATTAAGGTGTAGATTAAGGTACAAACTTCAGGGTATTTTCATCATTGACTAAAATTGGTCGATCAAATTGATGCGTCAAGCGTCGATCGTGCCATGCCATACGGAGCCATATATCCATATCATAATCCTAATTTTTTTTTAACAAGAATCTTGAATTGTAATTGATTGCTAACAATAGAAACCTAAATAACATTCAGTAAAAAAAATATTTTCAATTATAATTAGAAGATCTGGAAAGATTCGATTAAAAAAATTAATATACCATTGTGCTTTGATCAAAATTTGACATCGATTGAATCAATATTCCAAAAAATACTTCCGTAATTTTATCGTTGCCAATAATTGGTGGTGACCTTGAAATATGAGTGATGAAAAAATAAATTAACCACTAGAAGAAAGTAAAAATGTAGTTTAGGCAGAGTGATTGAGATGGAACAAACCTGGAATCATAATGACTTTTGTTGAGAAGTGGCAATAGGAGAGTTGATGAAAGCGGCATCATATTTGATATCATTTCACTATCAAATATACTTAAAATATTACTTAATTGAATGCTTTGTTTGAAAAGCATCGCGTAATTACTCATTTTTTCCCTTGAATTTCCATTCTTTTTTGCCTAAATTTTTATTGAAATTTCACAAATTTGTTATCATTTAATTCTTATTAGAAAAAATAAAATTTTCAGTTTTTCCAGTATTTCAATTATATTTAAATTAAATGACATTTTAAAAAATTAAAATTTTTAATTTTTTTAGTATTTGAGTTGTTTTTAGATTAAATAATATCTAAAAAAAATAATTGTGAAACTACTGAATAGAGGTTAACCTCTTTATCGTTTGATTCCATTTCATTCGAATTTTGCAAAGCTAAAAACCTAATTAGTTTGAGCAAAAATGTATAAATAATTAATAAACAAATTAAATTTGCAAACAATCATTAAGTAATGATAGTAAATGAGATAAGAAAATTAAGAGATAACTACATCTTTTATTCTTCTTTTTTCGTTAATTTAAATGTTAAATTTTAAGATTACAAAAACAACAACGAACTTTTTGTTATTTTATTAACATTTGCTGTGTCAAATTCGTCCGGTGCACAAACTTTTTCAAGATCAATTTGAAGTCCTTTATGAAATTCAAATATTGATGATATTTCACCAAGTTTGTAAAAATTAGCTACTTTTTGATTACGCACAATAATCATTGATGGAATTTCCTCGAAATGAGCATTTATCTATAATTATTTTTTAACAATTTTCCATGATTATGGCTTAATTTAAAAATGTAAAATAAAATTAAAAGTCAAAAGAGCAAAATTTAAAACAAAAATACAAAATGATTATTGATTTGTCTTTCAATTACTTGATAAGTGATTTCTGCTCTCGGATTGATAATGTGAATTCCTTCCGATGGGATTAACAATGATCTTTTGACCCGTTGCAAATGATCTTCCTCATTGTTTCTTGCAGTTAATGACTTCATTGTTTTTACTTCTAATATGTTAGGCTTCCGAGATATCGCCGTGCTGAGGAATGGAAATGAGTAAACAAACTACTTTAGCATTTTTATTGAAATTTCAAAATTGTCAATAATTACCAAAAATTTTAGCATTTATTGGAAAATACGGAATTTTCTGATATCTATGATAATAATATTCATGTTTTTTGATAATCTTGAAATTAAAAATTGTAATCGTTTAAAAGTAATTGCTTAAATGAACAAACTTTTCTCCTTTATTTATTGTCTTTTCTAAAAATGCAGAAAAAAGCATTCGTGAATGGGATGGAATGATCATTTATCACTAAAATCGTAAGTACATTATCATTTGTTTCAATTTTTTCTTTGCAGTAAATTTAAATTTACCTGATTGAAGAATATAAATTAACATCTTCCGTACTCAAAGATGTTTTTCTTTTGGCTTCATATTTATTGCATATTTCAAGCAAATTAACTTCATGCTCTCTGAATAATTAGACATTAGTACCAATCTTTTCCTTCTTTTTTCTTTTTTTTTCATTAAAGAAAAGAGTGTAAAAATTTCTCGAATAACTAAATAGTAATTTAAAATGGAATCGTTTTGATTACTATTTATTTATTCGAGAAATTTTGCAATTTATTTTATATTGGAAGTACCATCAAAAAACGGTACTTCTAATATAAAATTATTAGAAGTACCACTTTTTTAGGAAATTAAAATGAGAAAGAAAAGGAAGAGTTGCCTGTTTTCATTCACATTAGCTGATAAAAATTTAATAACTAACTTTGCTGCAGAAATGGAATCAATTAGCAAATATCGAGTGTAGTTTCCGCACACTTTCTTGAAATTAATATGCACAATCTTAAACTTAAATATACTCGATATAAGAGGCATAGAGTAGTTCAATAATTATATATTGATAAATAATGTACGAGGAGAGAAGAATAAAATGTTGGATAATTGAGCAGAAAAAGACAGTAAGTAAAGATTAGAAACAGAAGCTTTAAATCAAAAAGTTTAATTGAAAAGTTAAAAGATAAATTAAACCTTATATTTTGAGAGCAAATATTTCGGCAAGCCAAATTTTGTTAGCTGCACCACACTGTTCAATGATACTTCTACCTTTCGTGATAATAACAAATCAATGATTTCGGCCGTAGGCGTTATATCACCTGTCTGAAATAATCAAAAGTTTAATTTTAAAATTTGCAAAAATTAAGAAAGTGAATAAAAATTAGAAATAAAAACTGAATTAAAAGTTAAAGGAAAAAATAAATAAATAAACCTTATATATTTAGATAAGTTACAAGCTCAGATATAAATAATTAGATAAAATAAAATCAAATTACAAGAATATCAGATATATTTTTTAAATAATTAAATCACTTTTCATCATTATATTTTAATTACTATCACAGCAAGTTATTTTTTGATTTCTTTTTTTCGAAATAATGACCATACGTGTAGTTGCTTGTCAGCCTACCTGTAATTTCCACCATGAATTCCATGCCTTACATTGAAGTAAGTTTTCGCATCGAATTCCAACATCCTCAGCTTGATAAGTTGTGTTTATCCACAGTTCGGATTCGAGAATATTTTGAGCTAACGATATTCGCGATAAAATCAGTTCAACGATAATCATCCAAGCAGCAAAAACAAAAAAAGAATTTAAATTCATTGCGCAGTTGGAGAAGACTTCGTCGAGAAAAAAATTGCACTGTTTTTGACATATTGAATGAGAAAGATTACTCAAAAACGAGTTTTATCGATAGCGTCTGTCAAAGTATTTACTGGAAAGAGAAGTTCAAAAATCGGAACGCAATGGTCACATGAGAAAATGACCATTGCAGCACCTAAAGTGAAATTTTAGCTATTTTATAAAGATATAAAAATTTTAGAAATTTAGCTAATTTGATGTAAAAAAATAAAAATTTTAAATATCAAAAAAAATTTTTTTTTCCAGATTTTGATCCAAAAAATTTGCTTGAGATAATTAAATCGTTAATATTAACAT